GTGATAAATGTGTTTGGTGGTCTAACCAGAGTGTTCTTTCCTCTCCAGGGAGGGTTCCAGTTCTCCTGGGGCTGCTGCTCATGAGAGATAACTACCAAGACAAGGATTGCAGTCGAAGCTTCAGCAGGAGTTGGGCTGAGAGCAATTGCTAATAGGCTTTTGTTGGAGGGCACTATCCTGAAATCCTGGTCTGGAGAAGGATTTTTTAATCCCCCTCACTGATGATCTACCTGTGGATGTTGGGTGGCAGTCAGCTCCTGGGACATTGTGTCTGACCTCTCTCACCTGCTTCTGTAAGAAACTTCCAGAATATAGGAAAAGGAGAGTCAAATGACCAGCATGAATATTTATCCTGCTCCAGCCAATCTCGGGAAGGAGGTATCCAGAAAAGTGGCTGGGGAGGTGATAAATGTTCGGTGGCCTAACAAGAGTACTCTTTTCTCTCCAGGGAGGGTTCCAGTTCTCCTGGGGCTGTTGCTCCTGAAAGAGAACTACCAAGACAAGGATTGCAGTTGAAGGTTCAGCAGGAGCTGGGCTGAGAGCGATTGCTAATAGACTTTTGCTGGAGGGTACTGTCCTGAAATCCTGGTTTGGATAAGGATCTTTTAATCCCCCTCAATGATGATCTACCTGTGGATGTTGGGTGGCAGTCAGCTCCTCGGAACATTGTGTCTGACCTCTCTCATCTGCTTCTGGAAGAAACTTCCAGAATATAGGAAAAGGAGAGTCAAATGACCAGCATGAATATTTATCCTGCTCCAGCCAATCTCAGGGAAGGAGGTATCCAGAAGGTGGCTGGGGTGGTGATAAATGTTTTGTGGTCTATCCAGAGTGTTCTTTCCTCTCCTCTTTGCTTAAAATTTTGACATGCCAGGAAAAATATTCATGCAGACTTTTAGAGCCCATTTACCTCCTGTCAGTTGCGTTGGCGCATGCTCTCATTAATACGCGTTATGCCGCACGTAATGGACATTGCATTAAAGCAGCCCATGAAATGAATGGGCTTTTAACACACCCCTAACGTGCTAAAAACGGGACGTGACCCCTAGTGCATTGCGGCAAACTACAATGCAGGTGTGTTGCCTTTGGTATTGAGATGCCATTTAAAATATTACATGTAGCAATGCACGTAAATAACGTTTAAAAAACGCATTAATAGAGATGAGCCCTTAGAAATACAAAAAGGTTCCAAATTATTAACACCAGAAAGGAACGGACTCTCATGTCAACTCATTACTACAACATCTACTCATGAATGACTAACAGCAGGGGTGATCCCTTCATACCAACCCGTCAGGAATGCGAATGCGATGACTGGTCCCTTGCTTTTTCCTGCGTACAATTCCAATGTGTTTTATTTTGATTTAAAAAAAAAAAAAACAATGCAAGGAAATGTCCAGTTTTTAAATTCGCTTTCTCATTAAATGTTATTCGTTATTTAAAACACCGGTATCTTCATTCCAATCCTGTATTAAACATTTATTTCCAGTAATTTAATTAAAAAAAAAGGAGATTTAAGAGAGCAGACTTGAAACGGTACTAATCCTAATTTAACAATAGTTTACAACACAAACAAAAAATGCACACCTTTGAGAATGTACAGCCCTATAAGGAAAAATTCTAGATTTTTTTTTCTCTTAGTTGTAAAAACAATTAAAATAGAAAAAAAAAAAAATATTTAAAGTTATAAATTTTTAAATATTTCATTTTTAATATTCAAGCTAACATTTTTGTGGTAACTAAGTTTAGAGCTAAAAAAAAAAATAATATGAGCGAAAATGTAAAAAAAAAAATGTAATTTGCATATGAAACTATATATATATTTACAAATTCCTGTGCCATAAAAGGAAAAATTCCAGATTCCAGATCTTAGTTGTAAACAATTGAAATAACAATTGAGGGGGCGGGCACAGTGGCTTAGTGGTTAGCATGTCTGCCTTGCAGCAAATGGGTCATGAGTTCGATTCCTGACCATGGCACCTCCTGCATGGAGTTTGTATGTTCTCCCTATGCTCTGCATGGGTTTTCTCCAGGTGCTCCGGTTTTCCTTCCACACTCCAAAAAACATGCTGGTAAGGTTAATTGGCTCCTGTCTAAATTGGCCCTAATCTGTGTATGTATGAATGAAATTAGGGACTTTAGATTGTACACCCCTTGAGGGTTAGGGACCAGGGGGGACTGGACCCTTGGGCACTGTCCAAGGGCCCAGGGACAGTAGGGGGCCATCATGAGATACCCCTGGTACCTTTCATAGGTTTTTTTTTGGTGTGGGTGAGGACACAGGGGCCCCATGATCCCCTATTGCCCAGGGGCCCCATGAGTGTCAGTCCGCCCCTGTTAGGGACTGATGTGAATGTTCAATATATATGTGTAAAGCGCTGTGCAAATTGACAGCGCTATATAAGTACCTGAAAATATAAATATTTTAAATTATTCTTTAATATTCATGCTAACATTTTTGTGGTAACTAAGTCTATAGTTAATTTCGAAAAGAAGAGTGTAAAATGGAAAAGAAAAACAGAAAAAAAACAAACCAAAACAAAAACTTTATTCACCTATGAACCTTTTCTTGATAAATTGTTTTTGCAAAAAAGGATGTAAGTGAAAAAAATTGCAAAGAGGAAAAAAAAGACTGAAAGCCTGTTATTGTAAATGAACCTTTGTATAATACCTAGTTTTGAAGCAAATTTTTTAAAAAAGGAGAACAAAGGAGAGAAAAATAAAAAAATCTGAATTTGCATATGAAGCTTTTCATGATAAATAATTTTGTGGCTAAATTTAAAAAAAGTAGATTAGTGGAAATTTACAAAAGTAAAAAGAAACAACTGGTATTTGTAAATGAACCCTTTAATACCTAATTTTCATCAAATATAAAAAAAAGGAGATGAGTGAGAAATTAAAAAAAAACAAAACAAAAAAACCTTAGATTGTACACCCCTTGAGGGTTAGGGACTGATGTGAATGTACAATATATATGTAAAGCGCTGCGTAAATTGACGGCGCTATATAAGTACCTGAAATAAATAAATAATAATTAATTAATTTAAAAAAAAAAATAATTTATTTGCAACTGAACCTTTTCACGATTAATATATTTTGTAGCTATATAACAAAGAACATGGCTAGTGAAAATTTTAAAAAAGGAAAAAAAATTGTAGTTTGTAAAATGAATACCTACATGAATACTAAATGAAAAAAAATCTGTATTTGCAACTGAACCTTTTTATGAAATAACTAATTTTGTAACTAATAAGAAGGTAGACTAGAGAAAAACGTAAAAAAATAGGGCAGCACAGTGGCTAAATGGTTAGCACTCCCGCCTGGCAATACTAGGGTCGTTGGTTCGCAATCCCAACCCACAACACCAGCTGCCTGGAGTTTGTATGTTCTCCCTGTGCATGCGTGGGTTTCCTCCGGGTACTCCGGTTTCCTCCCACACTCCAAAAGACATGCTGGAAGGCAGGGACGACAGACAACTCATGGGTGCCCCCAGGCAATAGGGGATCATGGGTTCCCTGTGCCCTTGCCCACACTCAAAAAAGCATATAAAAAAGGTACCAGGGGCATCTCATGGGGCCCCCCTACTGACCCCGGGTAGCCCTCGGCCGGGCAGTGCCCGAGTGCTTGAATGGTCAGTCCGCCCCTGCTGGTAGGTTAATTGGATCCTGTCTAATTTGGCCCTAGTATGTGAATGTATGAATGTGAGTTAGGGACCTTAGATTGTGCGCACCCTTGAGGGTTAGGGACCTTAGATTGTACGCCCCTTGAGGGTTTAGGGACTGATGTGAAAGTACAATATATAATTAAAGTGCTGCGTAAATTGACAGCGCTAATATAAGTACCTGAAATAAATAAATAATAAAAAAGGAAAAAAAAAAATTGTACTTGTAAATGAATCCTAATTGAAATATTTGCAACTGAAACCTTTTCATGATAACAAATTTTTTTAAGCAAATAAGAAAGTAGACTAGTGAAAACTTAAAAATGGAAAAAACATTGTATTTTGTAAAATGAGTCTTAAAACATAACTTAATTTTAAAAAATTTTGTATGAGTCAATTTAAAAAAAAAAAAAAAGCAAGATGAGTGAGAAATTTAAAAAAAAAAATCAGTATTTGCCTTTTTAACCTTTTTCATTATGAAAAATTACAAAAAAAAAAAAATTACAAAAAAAAACACACACCTGTATTTTTATATGAACCTTTTTGTAATAATTGATTTTGTAGATCGTTTTTAAAAAGGAGAGGAGTGATAATTAAAAAAAAAAAATCTGTGTTTGCATATGAACCTTTTTTGACAACTAATTTTGTAACCAGTTTTTGCCTTTTAACCTTTTCATTATGAGTGGAAAATTAAAAAAAAAAAACACCTGTATTTTTATATGAACCTTTTTTGTAATAATTAATTTTGTAGATAATTTTTAAAAGGAGAAGGAGTGAAAAAAAAAAAAAAAAAATCTGTATTTATATATGAACCTTTTTTTTTGATAACTAATTTGTAACCATTTTTGCCTTTTAACCTTTTCATTATGAGTGGAAAAAATCGAAAAAAAAAAAAAAACACCTGTATTTTTATATGAACCTTTTTGTAAAAAATTAATTTTGTAGATAATTTTTAAAAAGGAGAGGAGTGAAAAAAAAAATAAAAAAAATCTGTATATTTTATATGAACCTTTTTTTGATAACTAATTTGTAACCAGTTTTTGCCTTTAAACCTTTTCATTATGGTAGTGGAAAATGGAAAAAAAAAAAAAACACCTGTATTTTTATATGAACCTTTTTTGTAATAATTAAATTTTGTAGATAATTTTTAAAAAAGGAGAGCAGGGAAAAATTTAAAAAAATAAAAAAAAAATCTGATTACTTATTTGTAACCATTTTAAAAAAAATGAGAAATGTTTTTTGAAATAAAGTGCATGATATCATTTGAAATGAACGATCAATTAAAATACCGGAAAGAAATGAAATACAGATACGATATATGTTTCGAGAGACAACTTACCTGTTGCTAGAAGGGTGGACAGAATGCCGGCAATTTTTAGAAAGGTACAAGTTCATGGAGGTCCTGAACTATTATAAGAGCGTGGAGCCTGTTATCCTGAGCTGTCTGTACTTACGTTTAATATAATTAATTCCTGTTGTGTTGGCATAGATAGACCCAGAGGAGGGGGGGAGGGGGGGGGGTGACATGTTCCATTTAAAGTATGAAAGCTATTTTTCCATGTCATCAGATGGCTTGAGCAGATATTATGCGCAGCGCGCAAACTTACGCTGGTAAGTAAATACCTTGAGAAGTTGATCCATGTCCAGCAACTACATTAATAGCATTTACATATCTTGGATGCCGTGCGTAAAACATAATGGCACTGGATTCCTTTTTTACGTGCCTACCCAATCATCGTAGATGTAAAACACCTCGCCCTCCAGAAGGGTTCCCCCACCCCAGCCTTCCTGAAGTAACAGGCCATTTTTTGCTTGCGTTACGGCGCTGCATTACTTAAACCGACATTGCGCATATGTCACCCCTCTAAAAATGGGACAGAGCGTTGTCACCCACCTCTAACAGGGACACCCCCTAACATGGACAGAGCGTTGTCACCCCCTAACAGATAGACAGAGCGTTGTCACCCTATAACAGGGACAGAGCGTTGTCACCCTCTAACAGGGGACAAGAGCGAGCGTTGTCACCCTCTAACAGGGACAGAGCGTTGTCACCCTATAACAGGGACAGAACGTTGTCACCCTATAACAGGGACAGAACGTTGTCACCCTATAACAGGGACAGAACGTGTTGTCACCCCTATAACAGAGATAGAACGTTGTCACCCTATAACATGGACAGAGCGTTGTCACCCTGTAACAGGATGACAGAGAGTTTGTCACCCTATAACATGGACAGAGCGTTGTCACCCTATAACAAGGACAGAGCGTTGTGTCACCCTATAACATGGACAAAAAGCATTGGTCACCCTCTAACATGGACAGAGCGTTGTCACCCTATAACAAGGACAGAGCATTGTCCACCTATAACATGGACAAAGCGTTTGTCACCCTATAACAGGGACAGAGTGTTGTCACCCTATAACAGGGACAGAGCGTTGTCACCCTATAACAAGGACAGAGCGTTGTCACCCTATATAACATGGACAAAGCGTTGTCACCCTATAACATGGACAGAGCGTTGTTCACCCTACAACAAGGACAGAGCGTTGTCACCTATAACAGGACAGAGCGTTGTCACCCTCTAAGAGGGACAGAGCATTGTCACCCTATAACAGAGACAGAGCGTTGTCACCCTCTAACAGGGACAGAGTGTTGTCACCCTATAACAAGGACAGAGCGTTGTCACCCTATAACAGGGACAGAGCGTTGTCACCCTCTAACAGGGACAGAGCGTTGTCACCCTCTAACAGGGACAGAGCGTTGTCACCCTATAACATGGACAGACGTTGTCACCCTATAACAGGGACAGAGAGTTGTCACCCTATAACAGGGACAGAGTGTTGTCACCCTATAACATGAGACAGAGCGTTGTCACCCTCTAACAGGGACAGAGCGTTGTCACCCTCTAACAGGGACAGAGCGTTGTCACCCTATAACAGGGACAGAGCGTTGTCACCCTATAACAGGGACAGAGCGTTGTCACCCTATAACAGGGACAGAGTGTTGTCACCCTCTAACATGGACAGAGCGTTGTCACCCTATAACAGGGACAGAGCGTTGTCACTCTATAACATGGACAGAGCATTGTCACCCTGTAACAGGGACAGAGCGTTGTCACCCTATAACAGAGACAGAGCGTTGTCATCCCATAACAGGACAGAGCGTTGTCACCCTATAACAGGGACAGAGCGTTGTCACCCTATAACATGGACAAAGCGTTGTCACCCTATAACATGGACAAAGCGTTGTCACCCTATAACATGGACAGAGCGTTGTCACCCTATAACATGGACAGGGCGTTGTCACCCTATAACAAGGACAGAGCGTTGTCACCCTATAACCCTATAACAGGGACAGAGCGTTGTCATCACATAACAGGGACAGAGCGTTGTCACCCTATAACATGGACAGAGCGTTGTCATCACATAACAGGGACAGAGCGTTGTCACCCTATAACAAGGACAGAGCGTTGTCACCCTATATCAGGGTGTTTGAAGAGCTCAGAACAACATTTTACTGCCCTCCTTTGACATCTCATTGGACAGTGCCATCTAGTGGTCATATTGTGAAAGGTAGATGCTCAACAGGCAACATATCAGGTAAAAATAAAAGTATTCAGTTTTATTTCTAAAGTAATTCAAACAAGAAGTACAAAATTAAAAACAGCATTCACACTGATCAACGTTTTCTCTAATAGAGAATTTTTTTTTTTATGGATAAAGGGACCTGTCAAAGCACAAGCATAGAGATCGCATCACGCCTTTTAATGCAAGTCAGCAATGGAAGATCCTATATATATATATATATATATATATATATATATATATATATATATATATAAAGAAGCTATTTTTTTTTTAATCAAAAACCTATGAGAATGTAAAAAAAAGACCAATATGCAGCGCTGGCCATAAATAAAAGAAATAAACCCTATACAGTTTGTAAATAATAAATATAAATGATATAATTTATATTTATTATTGTTTATTAATATATTATATATTCTATAATTAGCCCAAGCAATCAACACTTTTTTAAAATTCAGAATCAATAAAAAAACAAACAAAATGTTTTGAACATAAATGAGTGTTTCTTGGGCACAGTTTATTTCTTTTATTTATTGATAGAACAACCCCCCCCCCCCCACCCAAAAGAAAACAAATATAAAAAACAAAAATAAAACAGAACTGCCATATATGAATAACATTCAAATTTTCTTCAATGCTTTGGCGGAACGGTCGGAAAAGAAGCGTCTGTAGATCACAATCAGCCATTCTCTATACCCAGCTTTGTTTGCACTTCTACAAACATGTCCAATAGATCCCAAACAATCAAAATTTTTTTTTTTAAATTTAGAATCAATAAAAAAATTAAAAAACAAAAATATTTGAACATAAATGAGTGTTTCTTGAACACAGTTTATTTATTTTATTTATTGATAGGAACCCCCCCCCCCCCCCAAAAAAAAAAAAAAACCTGCCACATACACAATCCTATACCCAGAGATGATCCAGAAGAAGGCAAAAAATACATGTGATTAAAAGTCGACCTCCATGTCTTTATAGGAGGGATTTATTGTGTGGCAATATTTTCCCCCCTGTGGGCACATTAAAAGTCCCTATTATAGCCGTAGGGATTGTGTTGCAAGTATTTTTATTGTTTGGGATGGTGCTCCCAGGGAAAAAACATATTGACTGCTAGCAGGACCAGGACAAGGGGTGGGCAGGAGGGGTGGCTGCCCTGGGAACGGTGTTATCATGTGAAGTTGGGTGGCTCCGCATGGAGAGTTCCTACCTACAAGCTGACAGGAGTAGTAATGGCAGCTTGACTACTCCTGTCAGCTTAGTTCTGAAGGAGACAGATCTGGAGAGGAGGAGAGAGCTGGGAGGAGGGACAGGTTGTGCTCTCTCTCCCCTCCAGTTCCCTCTCCTGCCACTGCAGCTCTCCTGGATCGGGACTGCCGGATCGCCACTGTGCAGTGTTTGTTTACCCCCCCCATCTCCTCCCAGCAAATAATGTGGGTAGGGGGCAGGTAAGCAAACACTGTGCAGTGGCAGTCTGACAGCTAGTGGCATCTCTAGTGCAGGGCCCCCGATGATGCGATCCTGTAGTACTCTATAGCCCCCATTGTGCATGAATTTCATTTGCGGGGGAGGGTTTTTTTTTTTTAGACACATAATGGTCATACGTTTTGGAGGGGGGCAGGGGCGGACTGCCATTGGGGAACTCGGGCACTGCCCGAGGGCCCGGGGTCAGTAGGGGGCCCCATGAGATGTCCCTGGTACCTTTCATAGGCTTTTTTGGTGTGAGCGAGGACACAGGGGCCCCATGATCTCCTATTGCCCGGGGGCCCCATGAGTTGTGAGTCCGCCCCTGGTGGGGGTCACCTTTTGGCACCTTCACCCTGGGCGCTAAATGTGCTTGAATTTTATTTGCGGGGGAGGGGTTTTTTTTAGACACATAATGCTCATACGTTTCATAGGCTTTTTTGGTGTGGGCAAGGACACAGGGGCCCCATGATCCCCTATTGCCCGGGGGCCCCATGAGTTTTGAGTCCGCCCCTGGAGGGGGTCACCTTTTGGCACTTTCACCCTGAGCGCTAGATGTGCTTGAATTTTATTTGCGGGGGAGGGGTTTTCTTTAGACACATAATGCTCATACGTTTTGGAGGGGGGCAGGGGCGGACTGACCATTGGGGAACTCGGGCACTGCCTGAGGGCCCGGGGTCAGTAGGGGGCCCATGAGATGTCCCTGGTACCTTTCATAGGCTTTTTTGGTGTGGGCGAGGACACAGGGGCCCCATGATCTCCTATTGCCCGGGGGCCCCATGAGTTGTGAGTCCACCCCTGGAGGGGGTCACCTTTCGGCACCTTCACCCTGGGCGCTAGATGTGCTTGAATTTTATTTGCGGGGGAGGGTTTTTTTTTTTTTTTAGACACATAATGCTCATACGTTTTGGAGGCTTTTTTGGTGTGGGCGACGGCACAGGGACTCCATGATCCCCTATTGCCCGGGGGCCCCATGAGTTTTGAGTCCGCCCCTGGAGGGGGTCACCTTTTGGCACCTTCACCCTGGGCGCTAGATGTGCTTGAATTTTATTTGCGGGGGAGGGGTTTTTTTTAGACACATAATGCTCATACGTTTTGGAGGGGGGCAGGGGCGGACTGACCATTGGGGAACTCGGGCACTGCCCGAGGGCCCGGGGTCAGTAGGGGGCCCCATGAGATGTCCCTGGTACCTTTCATAGGCTTTTTTGGTGTGGGCGAGGACACAGGGGCCCCATGATCCCCTATTGCCCGGGGGCCCCATGAGTTGTGAGTCCGCCCCTGGAGGGGGTCACCTTTCGGCACCTTCACCCTGGGCGCTAGATGTGCTTGAATTTTATTTGCGGGGGAGGGGTTTTTTTTTTAGACACATAATGCTCATACGTTTTGGAGGGGGGCACCTTTCGGCACCTTCACCCTGGGCGCTAGATGACTCCACTATTCTTTCCTTTCCTTGAGCTCTCAATCACCATATCTATGTAGGAAAGGGAAGTGTGTTAGGACTGCAGAACACCTCCCCCTCTCCTTTTCTCTACACCATAGAGGGAGATGTTTTGTAGTCCACTAACTGAGAAGACCATGCCAAAGACAGAGGCCACGGGAAGTTATCAGCTTCCCAGATTTCTGGCAGGATCAACCACTGTTTTTTTTTCCTTGCAGTTATCAAACTGATACAACAAAATGGTGCGATTAACCGACCAAAAAGACAGAAAATAGTCCATTGTTTAGGTGTACATGATGTTTTATGAATTAGTTTTTTTTTTTTACCACTGTACATATATTTTCTTTTAGCTCTCTAGGTGGGTTTATGCCAAGACTTTGACAAGGAACATGGGAGTGAAAATCAGCAAAAACAGACTACGAGTGTACTGGAGGCTCCCGCTCCCGGTGAGGCAAGTGAACTTCATCGCTTGTGCTGTGTCTCCGGTTTTAAAGTCCATCTCCTTTATTGTACACAATCCCGGTGTGCCGCAACCTGCGAGAAATGTATTGGGAGACGGATCTGTGGAGTAAATATAAAACTACATTACTATAAAGCATCGCCAGTCACTAAAATCTCATAAAAAACAATTTACTGTAACATATTAGTGTGGTTCTAAAGGCAGAAGGTTTTTTTTTTTTTTACCTTTTATAGTAAACCCACAACAGTACAATCAGTCTGTAGATGCAGTAAAGCCTGCTTGTTATACTCACTGTGGAACCTAAGGGGTTAATCCTTGTGTGAAAACGCTGTTTGATCCTGTCTTCTCTGATCCTCCCCTTTTTCCAGTGTCCCCCTCTTATCTCCTGATAAGACATATTGTGTGGAGACACTCTGCACATGCTCACTTTTTCTTGGGAGAGTGCATGTGATCAGCACAGGGCCACTCAGCACTATCCAGACAGAGGTCAGGGGTTCTGCATCCTCCTAGAGCAGAATGAAAACTCCTCCTACAAGTTTTAACCAGTGAAACTGATACAAATCACAAGACTGATGATTTATACTGCTGATAAAAAAAGGTATTTAGCAGTTTATATTTCCAAAAAGTATTGCATTTTCATTTTCTGTGTACTGTGGGTAGACCAGATTTAGTGAATGCAGGGTCCAGGGAGAGCGGATATAGTGAATGCGGGGTCTGGGGAGAACAGATATAGTGAATGCAGGGTCTGGGGAGAGCGGATATAGTGAATGCGGGGTCCGGGGAGACCAGATATAGTGAATGCAGGGTCCAGGGAGACCAGATATAGTGAATGCAGGGTCCGGGGAGAGCAGATATAGTGAATGCGGGGTCCAGGGAGACCAGATATAGTAAATGCAGGGTCCGGGGAGAGCGGATATAGTGAATGCCGAGTCCGGGGAAACCGGATATAGTGAATGCAGGGTCCGGGGAGACCGGATATAGTGAATGCAGGGTCCGGGGAGACCAGATATAGTAAATGCAGGGTCCGGGGAGAGCGGATATAGTGAATGCCGGGTCCGGGGAGAGAGGATATAGTGAATGCCGGGTCCGGGGAGAGCAGATACAGTGAATGCAGGGTCCGGGGAGAGCAGATATAGTGAATGCAGGGTCCGGGGAGAATGGATAACGTGAATGCAGGGTCCAGGGAGACCGGATATAGTGAATGCGGGGTCCGGGGAGAGCGGATATAGTGAATGCGGGGTCCAGGGAGACCAGATATAGTGAATGCAGGGTCCAGGGAGACTTGATATAGTGAATGCAGGATCCTGGGAGACCGGATACAGTGAATGCAGGGTCCAGGGAGACCAGATATAGTGAATGCAGGGTCTGGGGAGAGCGGATACAGTGAATGCGGGGTCCGGGGAGAGCGGATATAGTGATAGGCAGGGTCCGGGGAGAGAGGATATAGTGAATGCAGGGTCCGGGGAGACCAGATATAGTGAATGCAGGGTCCGGGGAGAGCGGATATAGTGAATGCAGGGTCCGAGGAGAGCGGATATAGTAAATGCAGGGTCCGGGGAGAGCGGATATAGGGAATGCGGGGTCCGGGGAGAGCGGATATAGTGAATGCAGGGTCCGGGGAGAGCGGATATAGTGAATGCGGGGTCCGGGGAGAGCGGATATAGGGAATGCGGGGTCCGGGGAGAGCGGATATAGTGAATGCGGGGTCCGGGGAGAGCGGATATAGTGAATGCGGGGTCAGGGGAGACCAGATATAGTGAATGCAGGGTCCCGGGTTTAATAACACTTTAATTTACATTTTCCCGTCTTTTTCTGTACATGGATGACGGCACTGCAATTATTTTAATAAAAAAACAATCCAAGTACTTTCTTTCCTAATCGACATACGTCTGTCACATGACCCGGCTCTTTCCCAGCCTGTGTGCAGGGAAACAGTGGCAGGAGGAGCTTCTAGTCCTCTGCTACTGATCACATGTTAAGAGTAGACATAAACAATTATTATCAATAACCTGTTTTAAATTGTCATACAAGCATATATTTGAAATAAATCTTTATTATTTTTAGGCAATAACGTGGTGTGGGTGGATATCTGCCAGTCACAGGTTGTGTCACGCCCCTCCGTATACTGTATAATAACAGAGGTGAGAGAGGTGAAGCCTCCATCATTTAAGATCTAATATCCCACCTCCATTGTGTTTAGCTGGCTAGTGGGCATGGAGGAGGAGGAGGAGGGAGGGAGGGAGTGGGCTGTCATTCACCACCGTGTATACGCCCACCTGTGTGACTCTGTAGTCACATAGGCTGCTCAGATGTGATAGGGAGGAAATGCTCAGGGTAGAAAATACACTGAAAACTGAGCATGTGCAGTAGCTGCCAACACTGCTCTGCAAAATCCCCAACTGCAGCGGGGACATGGGCAGGAGGGGGAGACAGAGAGCAGCAGGATCAACCAGGTTTTTTGCAGAACAGAGAAAACAAATCCCATAGTGACTGAGTGAGTATGAACAGCGTGTAATACAGAATTTATTGATAGTTTTTAATGTTGTGGGTTTAATTAATGTAAAAAGCCTTCCGCATGCATCCCCCCCCCCCCTAAATATTTACCTGAGCCTGATCCATCCAGTGATGTACACAAGAGCAGCAGTTCTCTCATCTCTCTCTCTCCTCATTGAACAGAGAGTCAGCAGCTATTGGCCCCTGCTGCTGTCAGTCACAGTCAGTGAGGAGAGAGGGTGGGGCCAAGCCCCGCTCTGTGTGTCAATGGACACACAGAGCCGGCTCGGGAGCGAGCACGCCCAAGTGCCCCATAGAAAGCAGCTTGCTATGGGGACTTGCGGCAGGGGGGAGGAGCCAGGATGCGGACCTGAGAAGAGAGAAGGACCAGAGCTGCTCTGTGCAACATCATTACACAGAGCAGGTAGGTATAACATGTTTGTAACTCTTTTTTAATAACATTTTTGCCCTTACATATATATATTATAACTTTTTTTTTGTAATGGGGGAACTGGATGGACTTTTGTCTTTTTTCAGCCAGACTAACTATGTAACTACTAGCATGCACCGTATACTAGCACATCACAACAGACTTACCTATGAAAAGGATCCCTTCAGCCGCGCCCTGTCACCCCTGACAGGGAATCCATCTTCACTCGGTCTTCTTCCAGGGTTGCTGGCTGCGGCTGCTTGACTGGCCGAGCCGCGATGACGTCACTCCTGCGTGCATGTGGGCTCTGTTTACAGCACAGGGCTCTGAAGGAATGACACGGGCATGCCGTTCCTTCAGAGCGCATGCACCGGTGACGTCATCGGCGACTATATCTCCTTTCATGTTTAGGAGTTATTTACGGCACCTACAGGCAAACCTTATTATAGGAACAAGGCAAAAAAGGGAGTTTATTACCACTTTAAAAAGATACAAAAAGCTCACGCAAACGCCACCTCTAATTAATTAAGGGGCTTCCCCCTCACAGACCCACAAACACGGTGCCATATCGAGTTGCTGCACATTGCCTAGGACACACGGTCCAAGACACAGGACTGTCCCAGCCAATGCGACAGTTGGCTTCCATGCTTGTAGGGATCAGATAAATAGAACTTTGACTTTACCCCAAAAGAAACAAAAGTTTTAATAAATGAAAACAGACCCGGAGCTAGGGGGGTCCCCCCAGATTTTAGTTGTGTCCCTCCCTCTCCCAGATCTCTGAGAGTGCATCAAACTGATCAATGAGACTTGATGGGGAAAATTGATGTAAAGGGGCACTCTGATGGGGACAGTTGATGTAAAGGGGACTTTGAGAGGAGGTATTGATGTAAGGGGGCACTCTGATGGGGACAGTTGATGTAAGGGGGGACTTCGAGGGGAGATATTGATGTAAGGGGCACTCTGATGGGGACAGTTGATGTAAGTGGGAACTTCAAGGGGTGGTATTGATGTAAGGGGGACTTTGAGAGAAGGTATTGATGTAAGGGGGCACTCTGATGGGGACAGTTGATGTAAGTGGGAACTTCAAGGGGTGGTATTGATGTAAGGGGGACTTTGAGAGAAGGTATTGATGTAAGGGGGCACTCTGATGGGGACAGTTGATGTAAGGGGGAACTTCGAGGGGAGATATTGATGTCAGGGTACACTCTGATAGGGACAGTTGATGTAAGGGGGAACTTTGAGGGGAGGTATTGACGTAAGGGAACACTCTGATGGGGACAGTTGATGTAAGGGAGAACTTCGAGGGGAGGTATTGATGTAAGGGTGCACTCTGATGGGGACTGTTGATGTAAGGGGGAACTTCGAGGGGAGGTATTGATGTAAGGGGGCACTCTGATGGGGACAGTTGATGTAAGGGGGAACTTCGAGGGGAGATATTGATGTAAGGGGGCACTCTGATGAGGACAGTTGATGCAAGGGGGAACTTCAAGGGGAGGTACTGATGTAAGGGTTAACTCTGATGTAGACATTTTATGTAAGGGGTCTGATTTAGGGAGGGACTCTGATAAGAAAACCTGATATAAAGGGGCACAGGTTCTGTTTAATCATCCTTATACATTCTAGTTTTCTCTGTTCATCTGCACCTCCTCTGCACTACCTGTCAGACGTTACTTCAGGGTTGTGACTCTGTGGTACAGAAGCGTGCCGGGTGAACAGGGAATAATGGTTCCATGCATCTCTGTCAAACCATTGACATTATGCCCCCTGAGGCCCTGACCTTTTTTTATTTTACTGCACCCCTAGATCTGATAGGCAAGATCCAGCCCTGAATGAAAATGCTTCTTATCATCTCTATCTAGGTGGCACCACAATCCATTCTAAGTGGTGGAGAACATCATTCTTTAGAGATAGCCCAATGCTTAATTAGTCCCATCATATGAATATTTGTCTTCCCAACTCTCCCATCCCTAAGCATGAAAGAGTTTGGAAGGCAGCTGTGATGTAAGAGGCTGATACCAAGTAAAATTCAAGTACTTTCATTACATTGATTGCATTAAAAAAAAACATTTAGTAATTATTAATGAGTAATTTAGAGCTGCATTAATGTGTGCCTTTTATATCTGCCTGGAGTTCAGATTTAAATTGTGATGGTTTAGTCCCAAGCATAAGAAAGATAGAAAATGTGTAGAAAGCCATACTTGTTTCAATACGTAATGAGACACATTTATTCTCATCCCCAGAACAGTATCTGTGGGTGCTTGAAGTACATGGTGTGTCCCCAGAACCTCGACATTCCAAACAGGACACCCCGTTCTTCTCTGTTTTAGTCTGTGGCACTTGAAATGAAAAAAAGATACAGGTCAGAATACAATTCTTAGAGTAATCGAAGTACACTTTTGACAGCATAACTAGACAGATTAGGGTGAGGTAAGCTAAAAGGAACCAAAAAGCCCCCCAGATGATGTGATCACACCCCAAGATTCAGCCAATACCTCCCAATTCTGCCTATGTCCTAGGGACCGGACACATTCCGGGGATTCTGCCCTTTCATCAATGTAGATGAACACATTATTGGGATCCCTCACTTTTATCAGTGTATTCCTAGCGATAGAAGGCATTCTGGGGATTAAAACCATTCATCAATGTACTCCTAGGGCTGGGACACATTATGGGCTGGGCTGCTGTTAGAAACCACGGGGGGGCCTCATACAGCCAACCTGCCAGGGCTCCCCTCCCAAAAAAAAGCCCAGAAACAAAAAACAGTTTACTATGCTTCATTTATAAACGAACACAGTTTACTATGCTTCATTTATAAATGAACACAGTGAGTGATTGGTAGCAATCACTCATTGTGTTTATTCAGGAAAGAGAGGGCTGGTAAATGTGACATTTACAAGACCTTTCTCCCACTCTCCATCCTGAAGGACCCTATTGTGTACATGCAGCTGCTGGTGTGGAAAGGAGAGGAGGGAAACCAGCAGCACTGAAGGGGTGAGGGCACACAGGGGCAATCGTATGGTGGACAGGGAAGATGATGGGTGAAGGGGGGGGCACAATTACTGTAAGCGATCCCCTGTATGACTCTTTGCAGCAGCTGAAAGGGGAGGAGGGAGAGGAGAATAAGTAATTGCCTCCCACCCGCTGTGCCAATCACCCTCCATGCCCACATCCAATTCACCGCTGGCCTGGGCCCCATACAGAAGGACTGGTGGTACTCCCTTATTCACGGCCCTGATTATGGGGATCCCTCACCTTCATCAGTGTACTCCCAAGAAACAGGATGTATTCTGGGGATTCCAGATCTTCATCAATGTACTACGATGGGCAGGACACATTAAGGGGGTCCCTCTCCTTCAACTGTGTACCCCTAGGGATGCAACGCATTCTAAAAGTTCCCCTTCTTCATCAATACTCCTAGGGACAGGACATGTTTTGGGGATTCCTCCCCTTCATCAGTGTACTCCTAGGGATGGGAACATTTCAGGGTTTTCTCCCCTTCATCAGTCTTCTTCTATGGGCAAGACATGTTACAGGGTTTACTCCCTTTCATCAGTGTACTCCTAGGGGGGATACATTTCAGGGATTCCTCCCCCTCATTATTCTGCTCCTAGGATCAGAACATGTAATGGGGATTCCTCCCCTTCATCAGAGTACCTTGAGGGACAAGACACATTCTAGGGGTTCCTCCCCTTCATTATTCTGCTCCTAGGATCAGAACACGTCATGGGGATTCCTCCCCTTCATCAGAGTACCTTGAGGGACAAGACACATTCTAGGGGTTCCTCTCCTTCATTATTCTGCTCCTAGGATCAGAACAGGTTATGGGGATTCCTCGCCTTCATCAGAGTACCTTAAGGGACAAGACACATTCTAGGGGTTCCTCCCCTTCATTATTCTGCTCCTAGGATCAGAACACATTATGGGGATTCCTCCCCTTCATCAGAGTACCTTGAGGGACAAGACACATTCTAGGGGTTCCTCCCCTTCATTATTCTGCTCCTAGAATCAGAACACGTTATGGGGATTCCTCCCCTTCATCAGAGTACCTTGAGGGACAAGACACATTCTAGGGGTTCCTCCCCTTCATTATTCTGCTCCTAGGATCAGAACACGTTATGGGGATTCCTCCCCTTCATCAGAGTACCTTGAGGGACAAGACACATTCTAGGGGTTCCTCCCCTTCATTATTCTGCTCCTAGGATCAGAACACGTTATAGGGGTTCCTCCTCTTCATCAGAGTACCTTGAGGGACAAGACACATTCTAGGGGTTCCTCTCCTTCATTATTCTGCTCCTAGGATCAGAACACGTTATGGGGATTCCTCCCCTTCATCAGAGTACCTTGAGGGACAAGACACATTCTAGGGGTTCCTCCCCTTCATCAGAGTCCCTTGAGGGACAAGACACATTCTAGGGGTTCCTCCCCTTCATTATTCTGCTCCTAGGATCAGAACACGTTATGGGGATTCCTCCCCTTCATCAGAGTACCTTAAGGGGCAAAAAACACATTATAGGGGTTCCTCCCCTTCATTATTCTGCTCCTAGGATCAGAACATGTAATGGGGATTCCTTCCCTTCATCAGAGTACCTTGAGGGACAAGACACATTCTAGGGGTTCCTCCCCTTCATTATTCTGCTCCTAGGATCAGAACACGTTATGGGGATTCCTCCCCTTCATCAGAGTACCTTAAGGGACAAGACACATTCTAGGGGTTCCTCCCCTTCATTATTCTGCTCCTAGGATCAGAACACGTTATAGGGGTTCCTCCCCCCTTCATCAGAGTCCCTTGAGGGACAAGACACATTCTAGGGGTTCCTCCCCTTCATTATTCTGCTCCTAGGATCAGAACACGTTATGGGGATTCCTCCCCTTCATCAGAGTACCTTAAGGGGCAAAAAACACATTATAGGGGTTCCTCCCCTTCATTATTCTGCTCCTAGGATCAGAACATGTAATGGGGATTCCTTCCCTTCATCAGAGTACCTTGAGGGACAAGACACATTCTAGGGGTTCCTCCCCTTCATTATTCTGCTCCTAGGATCAGAACACGTTATGGGGATTCCTCCCCTTCATCAGAGTACCTTAAGGGACAAGACACATTATAGGGGTTCCTCCCCTTCATTATTCTGCTCCTAGGATCAGAACACGTTATGGGGATTCCTCCCCTTCATCAGAGTACCTTAAGGGACAAGACACATTCTAGGGGTTCCTCCCCTTCATTATTCTGCTCCTAGGATCAGAACACGTTATGGGGATTCCTCCCCTTCATCAGAGTACCTTGAGGGACAAGACACATTCTAGGGGTTCCTCCCCTTCATTATTCTGCTCCTAGGATCAGAACACGTTATGGGGATTCCTCCCCTTCATCAGAGTACCTTGAGGGACAAGACACATTCTAGGGGTTCCTCCCCTTCATTATTCTGCTCCTAGGATCAGAACACGTTATGGGATTCCTCCCCTTCATCAGAGTACCTTGAGGGACAAGACACATTCTAGGGGTTCCTCCCCTTCATTATTCTGCTCCTAGGATCAGAACACGTTATAAGGGTTCCTCCCCTTCATCAGAGTACCTTGAGGGACAAGACACATTCTAGGGGTTCCTCTCCTTCATTATTCTGCTCCTAGGATCAGAACACGTTATGGGGATTCCTCCCTTCATCAGAGTACCTTGAGGGACAAGACACATTCTAGGGGTTCCTCCCCTTCATCAGAGTCCCTTGAGGGACAAGACACATTCTAGGGGTTCCTCCCCTTCATTATTCTGCTCCTAGGATCAGAACACGTTATGGGGATTCCTCCCCTTCATCAGAGTACCTTAAGGGGCAAAAAACACATTATAGGGGTTCCTCCCCTTCATTATTCTGCTCCTAGGATCAGAACATGTAATGGGGATTCCTTCCCTTCATCAGAGTACCTTGAGGGACAAGACACATTCTAGGGGTTCCTCCCCTTCATTATTCTGCTCCTAGGATCAGAACACGTTATGGGGATTCCTCCCCTTCATCAGAGTACCTTAAGGGACAAGACACATTCTAGGGGTTCCTCCCCTTCATTATTCTGCTCCTAGGATCAGAACACGTTATAGGGGTTCCTCCCCTTCATCAGAGTCCCTTGAGGGACAAGACACATTCTAGGGGTTCCTCCCCTTCATTATTCTGCTCCTAGGATCAGAACACGTTATGGGGATTCCTCCCCTTCATCAGAGTACCTTAAGGGGCAAAAAACACATTATAGGGGTTCCTCCCCTTCATTATTCTGCTCCTAGGATCAGAACATGTAATGGGGATTCCTTCCCTTCATCAGAGTACCTTGAGGGACAAGACACATTCTAGGGGTTCCTCCCCTTCATTATTCTGCTCCTAGGATCAGAACACGTTATGGGGATTCCTCCCCTTCATCAGAGTACCTTGAGGGACAAGACACATTCTAGGGGTTCCTCCCCTTCATTATTCTGCTCCTAGGATCAGAACACGTTATGGGGATTCCTCCCCTTCATCAGAGTACCTTGAGGGACAAGACACATTCTAGGGGTTCCTCCCCTTCGTTATTCTGCTCCTAGGATCAGAACACGTTATGGGGATTCCTCCCCTTCATCAGAGTACCTTGAGGGACAAGACACATTCTAGGGGTTCCTCCCCTTCATCAATGTACTCATAGGGGTGAGGCACATTATGTGGATTCCTCAACTTCATTAGTCTGCACTGCAGTCTAGACCGCTCCTTTGAATGTTAACATCTACGGAAGCTGATGATTTTCTAAACCTAGCCACTGGCCACGGGAGTGCAGTTTAAATTGTTATATACCCAATAGGCTCTGCATTCTATTATCTATGTGAGTGCAATTTATTATTTTAATTGAAGGTGGTTAAAATGGGTACACTTGGTCAATGTGATTTCACTCTTCTATTATAACATTGCTATATGCAGATACCATTTGGCTTATAAAGGTTCTGCTGTGCTTTACAGGAATGCATTTTTAAAATTCTAAGCATCTAACCCAAAGTTGCCCAAACATAGGGAAGATTTATAAGTGTCCTATACTATGACCTATGCTTTCATTGACTGACCACTTTCTTACATGCAGACAGGTAGGATGGGTTGTAGAACACACCAGCTTTCTTAGAAATGTTAACTGTACCTCTGCAGAACCCTGAATAATTTACTTTTTGACTTACATTCCTCTTGAAAAATGCCTAGGCAAGTCTGTGCCTAAACCCTTATAGCCATTTATCTGCAGTGCGAGGTCATTTTAGGCACTGCTGCATCTAACTAATATCTTAAGAGATTTGGAGTAAGATTTGGTGATGTCACTACTGTTCTGATGGCAGTTTTGCTTGATGGAGAGAAAGCTGTACCTAAGGACCTGCAGAACAAGGATCTCCCTGCTTCTTCCATATTTGGTGTGGTCTTATTCAATGAATATTTCCCAGTAGTCAGCAGATAATCTGTCGTCAGTAGGCAGCTTTGACATGAGGATGTAAAGCCCTGCCTCTACTAAGATGGCCTCCTCCACACAGAGACACAATACAGAACAAAGCATGGAAAACCAGTGATCAGCTGCAAGGGGATAGCAGTCAGTACTGGGTTATAGCCCTTTGGCCTATGCTTGCCTGGGCACAGTTCAGGTCTCATTTGAATTACTTAAAATTAAAGTATCCTGTATGGCAGTATAATAAAGTACCAAATCCAATTACTATTTGATGTACAATCTTCAAAAACAAATTTACTTTGCCTCTTATGACCTCTCTAATTGTGTCTCATATGCAGTGCTGGGACAAGATCATCTAATGCCCAGGGAAATAATGCCAAACTGACAAAAGGGCTTCTGAATACATGATCACTGCACTTGCAGGAAGGAGGTGGGGGAGAGAGAACACAGCCTGCATCGCCTCCCGGCTCTCTCCTCCTCTTATCACTCCCAGAGCTGGGCAGAGAGGAGTAGTAGTGATGCTTCTGTCACTACTCCTGTCAACCTTGAAAAAGAAGGAAGACATCCCCATTGATACAGTAAAACATTGCACCCAGGGCCCACCCCTTGTCCCGGCCCTGCTCACATGTTCTTCCTCCCAGACATTGCAGCTCATAGTAGGAGGGATTCAGCAACAGAGGCAGTGCTGTCTATCCAAAAAGCAGTGGCCAGTAGCCAGATACTGGCTGACAAGTTACAGGCATGAGAATCAGCAGCAACCAGGGGCGGACTGACAACTCATGGGGCCCCCGGGCAATAGGTGATCATGGGGCCCCTGTGTCCTTGCCCAAACTCAAAAAAGCCTATGAAAAAGGTATCAGGGGCATCTCATGGGGCCCCCTACTGACCCCGGGCCCTCGGGCAATGCCCGACTTTCCAAATGGTCAGTCCATCCCTGACAGCAACTATGGTGACAACCATAGCCCCCCCATCTTTGGATCCCATTGTAGTGCAAGCAGGCACTGCCTACATGAGAGTGACAACTCTGCTTTGAATTCATGAGCAGTGTAGCATCACTGCCTCACCATCGCAGGAAGCTGCATTATGTGGACTGGCAGGTTCAATGAATATTTGTGGGACTTTTCATAAAGACTAAGAGAAAGTTGTAAGTGAAGATGAAATTATAATTACGTTCTGCATCTTCTGTAATGGGAGGCTATCATTCTACTTCAAGCTCTAATTTTGAGTTTTTGTATTTGCTAGTCACACTGCAATACCAGTTTTCACCAACAGGCAACTTAAATATCAGGTGAAACATAAGAATCAGGTCAAATCAGGTCTTACAGGCAATCTCAAATGGTTTCTATGGTAGTGCATATGACTGTTCAGATGAAATTCAACCAAGGATGTTATACTTACACACAGGCATGGGAGGAATGCAGTTATTGACAGCGCAACAGGAACTGCTTATTTTTATTACTCCATTAGAATAGGTAAAAATTTCCTTCTCAGAACACATTGATTTTTCCCCACAAACTCTCTTGTACTGCCTCTTTTCCTGGCCACCTGTCAAAAGAGAGAGAAAACAAGATATGTCAAAGGGGTATGTAGCATCTCAGACTCAACTTGATTATAGTATATTCACTTAAAGGAAAACTATCGCTGTTTCGCTGTTTGGATTCCCATTGGGGATATTTTCTCTAATTTCCACATGGGTTGCCAGAAACAGAAAGAGAGAGGAAATCTCCCCAATTACTATTTTACTCCACTGTAACTCGGTCACCAAAAGGGTAAATAAAAGGTTTCCTTTCAAAGAAGAACATAAAGGCTCACCTCTCCCACTGCCCTTGCAGTGGAACACCATCCTAATAAATAGAAACCATTCGCTAAAGTCTCTAGGAAGCCAAACTTCTAAGAGTGTAGATCTGTTGAACCTCTGCTGCTCCTGATGGATCCATCTGGTGACCCCTAAGTCACCACTGTGCCCTGTAGTGACTTAGGGGTCACCAGGAGCAAGAACATAGTAAAGTGGGGTGTGGCGATTGGACACGGACAACCATTTTGCTACAATCCACCATCTTGTATCATACTTTTTTGAATGGCATGTGGTGTGTGTGTATACTGGGGTCACAAATGCATCAGGCACAGCTGGATATGCTTCATGGTTATAAACCCAATTAGCTGGTCCCATGATATCTGTCAGACTCTTGCCTTGGCCTGGTCATAAAGCTATAAATCAGTCAGTCACTGGACATGAAAAGCATTCATGAGTGGCAGTAAAACGTACATCCCATTTGTATCACTTTTTCATAAAAATTCATAAATCCCGACAGGAACAAGATACAATAAAACAAAGCATATATTCAGATAGGTCATTTTAATACAAGTCTCCTGATACCTTACACCTCTAGGTAATGTCTACCAGAGAGTATAAAGCGATATCTTGTTATCCGTCACAGCCAGATATGTCATATTTGGTGTCTAGACATTCAAAATATGGTTCTACATATTAACCTGCCAGTGGCTAGGCTGCTGCATGCACCTATGGAAGGTTATCGACCATGGTATAAAGTTGGGAGGGATTTGGGTCACAGCCTCGGTCTCCACCTAACAAATGAGGCGATTGGCCCTTGGCTTCTGTAGACACCCCCTGCTGGGACACCAGAAAAGGCTGTCATGCCTGGAGAGAGAGAAGAAGAGATTCTCCCTTTTAACATCAGGAACCAACTTTGGGAGAAAAGGCACCTTTTTGTTCAGGGCACTTGAACTCTGCTTAAACCAAGGACTTCTGCAAGTATCCTACCTTCTTAAACTTCTTTCTTTTATCTCTCTGTTGTGTTATTGCTCTCTCTATTTATATATATATATATATATATATATATATATATATATATATATATATATTGGCTACATCTTTTCTGTAAATATTTTTATTGCACCATTTTGACCTTTTTAGTAATAAATCCTATTTTCTGAAAAGTGTTGAACTGTTTCTAAAGCTCTTTAATGCAAACTAAGAATCCCTGTCTCTGAAGAGTGCTACTGTGTGTTTTAAAACCTCTGGATACATCTGTCTGCGGTGACAGTGTGTATACAGATACTTATTCAAACATCATAGTGTTACGGCTAAGATTTGTGAGTTTCCTCCTTCTCTGTAAAAAGATGGTGGTGGCAGTGTGAAGGGTTAATTGCGTAATTACCCTGACCCAGTAACAATCACTCTCAGGCTGCTGGCACCTAGATTGGGGTCCAGTGAGCTGGAAAATCTTTGTGCAGGGTGTAGCTGAGAGTGGAATTGTTACGCAAGTAGCAGCGCGGTTTTAGATTGGCTAGTCCTTCGGTCACAAGTTGGTGAGAAGGGCTGGGTTCTGACGCCGCGCCCGTCACATGGGGGACCAGTTCCGTGGGCATTTTTTTATTTTTCCATTGGCCTACAACCAAGCTATCTGCTACAATGTATGTCAGCTATACCACCAAACATTCCAAATTGCAATGGAAATTAACTGAAACATCTGCAATGCCAAAGGTCCACGTTAGGCATTCCCTACCTTCTAAAGAAACAGGTTTTTAAGGAAAGGCCATTTCCTCAGGTTGAGCTTTTGGCAAATTTGAAAGTCTGCAGTCCAATTTCTTACTGTGGACCTTTGGGACTACGAAAATTTTACGGCTTTCAAACTGGAAGGTTTAAACTTTGGATGGCAAACTGCAGTGGTTAATACCTGAGGGAGAAGCACCAATGTTTAGTTGGATAGCATGGCTATAGTCAACTACCTTCAAACACCAGCTCATGGTAACAATTGAAATGCACCAAAACAACGTAGCTCCCAATCACTGCTGCACTGAAATAAATGTATCAGATGTGATATTTGGGGGTTCCAGGTCACAAGCAAGATGTTCATGTAAAAGCAAACAGTCTTTAGTTTTTAAAAAGGCTTGCAAAAACAGCTTATTTGTCAGTTTGCAAAAACAAAACAATCTATGGAACAAAGTAAATCTTCGGCTCATCGCCAGCATAACCTTGTCCTTTGATGGGGTTTAAAGTCCCCAACTGCTCCAGGGATCCAAAGAAAATGTCACCATAGCTCAGTAGTATCTCAATAACCAAACATCAAAGAGCTTCTTCTCCTGCTTCACACTACACCTCATGAACACCTCCTGACTGTGTCCTGCTCTTTTCTGCCCCATCTTGCAGGCAGGTTAACCCTTACATCACCAAGATACCAATAATCAGGGTTGGAGGCTCTTTCCCACCAGAAATCCCTCTGAGTCTCCAAATTCCAAGACCCATAACAATGCTGAGAAAACTGTCAATCAGTATTCTCTCTCTGCTGGATCTCCCCTGCACCCTCACCCTGCATAGGTGAGAATCCCTGGGTACTCCAGCTGTCTTTTGTCATCACCCTTAAAGGGACCACAAACAAAACAATAGGGGCACATACCTCCCATCCAGGACCTATCCCTGGCATTCTGTATAAAATACATTCTTGAATCTTGTAATCAAAATAAAGTTAAAAGTGGTTGGATAATTGCAGCACTGAAAAAATGATTTTTTTAAAGCTGGTTTTTCCCACTTACCTTCAGCAGTGGACTTCAAAATTGCCACACAGAATTCAGAATCTAAAGGGCATGTAGTTGGGCTTCCTTTACAGGACCTCTCATCTTCCCCATCACACACAATACATGATAAAGAGAATCCTGTAAAATGAAAGGAAATTATTAACCAAAGGCAGAAATAATGTATGACAAAATGAGCAGCTATGACTCTCTACTGAGCTGATAACCAAATATAAATCACAGAGCCTACATACCTTTTGCTTTTAGCTATAGCATTTGATTTTAAAAGTCAATTCCGGGGTAAAACCCACTCCCCAGTCCTTCCCCCATCCTTGCAACCCTCTCCCCACCAAATGTTTTAAAAAAAATTCAAATGTACATAGCTTAATTCTAGGTGTCTTTCATTATGATCATTTGACAAGCATGGTTTTCTTCCAAACTTTAAGCAATGAGTGGTTTCCAATCCTTTGCAGAACAGCACTCAAGCTGTGCAGCATTAGACTGTATTGAGGAGGTGCAGCGTGGTGCAGCGGCAGTAAACACTCAGAGTCCAGTTGCAGACCTGAATTTAAAGTTCAATAAAGCACAACCGGCAGGGAGACATCCTGACCAGGCGCACTCACAGAATGTCGTACCAAAGAGTATAACAGTAGGCCTCAATGCACCGACAGTGTCTGTCTCAAGGGGCAGAATTTAGCCTGGCTGGTCCAAATTGTGAGGCTTCCTGAAGGGTGGCATGTCCCTGCTCTTTCCCTACTTGTTTAGAACCTCTCCTTGGTGCTAATTACTGTCCCTGACAGATGGGTGATCTGTCCCTACTCTATCCACACGTGAAGTAGGTGCCAAACCTGAAAGCCAGGGGTAATGAATAGACTCTGCCTGAACCCAAGATGGCCACCAGGGTCACGTGGGGAGCCAGAATCTAGTTGAATAGCTCCCTCAGTGACCTAGGTAACTATAGAGGAACCATTTTCCTCTTGATTTCCTCTCCCTCTGCAATGCCGCTGCTGTTGAGTACAATCTGCAGTGGAGAAAGTAGACTGCACCTGCCTACACTGTGAACCCATAATGCATGATTCGGCTAGCCCAAGGCATGTGTTATTGACAACCTTGGCTCACAGGAAGGAATTGGATGATGCTGGCATCATTTGGCCCAAAAGTGGGATAACAGAGAAGAACGTGGAGAGCAGCACTGGTGTGTGGAAAGGGTGAGTAGTGCATTAGAATTGTTTTTCCACAGGAGAGGAGGGGGAAATAATACATTTTATTTTGAAAAGTAAATCTGGAGTTGGGATTTAAAGCAACCCTGTCAGGTTGAAGAAAAATTCTTCTGAAAGTTCTCCGCAATAGAAATATTTACATGATTACCTATTTGGTGGCCCATGTCTCCAACCTCTGATCCCTTCAGTGCTGCAACCTCTGTAAGACTGTTTGGTATTTATTACTTCTGGAAGTGTCAATCCCCATGTCCCCCTTTGCATGTCGTGGTTCCATCCTCCAAACCCTAAATCACTGCCATGTCCTGTAGAGATGTAGGTGTTGGAGGATGGAACCATGGCATTTGCTTGGGATGAACCACGGATTTTACCAGTATTTGAATGCCCCTAATACAATCACACAAATGCAAGTGTAGGACCCCCCACCCACTAGTAGGGGTCTCCAGAGGTTGACATTTCACTTTGGTCTAAGATTCGTGACCTGTAGTGAAGATGTAAAGAAATGGACACCAGTCACTTTTTGACAATTAATAGAGTCAATTAAAGGCCATCAAACTCCAGTGAAAGAAGGTTAAAGCACAATACACCCAAAAGAACAATTGACAAATTGCACAAATCTCAACTTACAGCTGGCGCAAAAAGTCACCTTCAAGACAGACCAGGGCTCTGTACATTTTCCTGACCATAACAGCTGTAGCACATGAACCCTCTGGATGAGCCAACAGAGTTCCTGCAGTGTTCAGGCATTGACCATTCTCTTCAAAACTCTGAAGTTCTTCCAGACACTCCAATCCAGGTCCCAGTGTCACTGCAGACCCTCTAGCAAGGCAGAGCTTGTAGGCCCCTAAGCTTACCTCTAATTGACACCTAATTTAAGATAGGATAGTGTTACATTAATAACTACCTCCTTCTGGATAGGGAACAGGTTAAATGTTTGTTTTGCTGTTTGTTTCACATTTGGGTAGATATTTTTCTCTATTTCTATCCCTGTCTGAGAAGGAAGGGAGGGGAAAATCTCTCCATCCGCACAGCTATTAAAATCTGACAAAGGACCTAACCCTTCTCACTTTTTTATTGTGGAATTTAATTTTAAAGCTAAACTCCAGGATAAGCAAATATTGTCCAAATCTAAGAATCGTGTGTGTTGTTAGTTAAATTTCGGTGTGTTTTGTGTATTTCTTCCAGAGCTGTGCAGTAATCCAGTGTGAAACGTGTCCTTCCTGTAATAAAGACCAGTCACTGCTGCTCTCTCCTTGTACAGGGCGACTGGCCTTATCTCCACCCACTCCTTTAGTTTTCTGCAGGCAGTCTGTGGTAGTAGGAACTGCTGGACCCCACCCACAGCTCTGCTATCTGCACAGTGATGATGTCACTACCATTTTACAAAGTAATATCTGGATTTGTATTGAGATTTGATGCACACAAAGTAGATGTACATCCTTGTATTGAAAAGCATTTAACCGCTTCCACCCAGGGGCGTATTTACCACAAGGAAAACAAGGCATTTGCCTAGGGTGGCACTTTTCTAGGGTACAGCACTGCCCCCCTGGAAGAAGGGATGGAAAAATAGACACACACAGCATTTGGACCAGGTGGGATCTGAGAGAGGCTGCGGGCCAGAGCCCCACTCTCATTCTCCTGGATGTCCTGAGCTGTGAAGGTGTGAGTCTCTCTTTCGCCAAGTGGGGAAGGCGGTGTTTGGTGGGCAGGGGCGGACTGACAACTCATGGGGCTCCCGGGCAATAGGGGATCATGGGGCCCCTGTGTCCTTGCCCAAACTCAAAAAAGCCTATGAAAAAGGTACCAGGGGCATCTCATGGGGCCCCCTACTGACCCCAGGCCCTCGGGCAGTGCCCAAGTTTCCAAATGGTCAGTCCGCCCTGATGGTGGGCAATGGTGGGAGGCTCTCTTGGGTGGGGTGTTGTTGGTCAATGTCTCAGGCTCTCTCCTCCGTGGGGGTGGGAGGGTGGCGTTGGTCAGTGTCAGGCTCTCTACACAGGGGGGTGGCAATTTTCATGGTGCCTAGGGCAGCACAAAACCTACATACACCACTACTTCCACCATACATATATAGACTGCCATACGTATATAGACCACCACCTTTACCTGGCTCTTCCGTCGGGGAGACCGGTACTGATGCAACCACCTCGGATGCATTCACTGAGAAGGATGGTAGGAATGGAAGTTCCCGACTCCTCCTCTGTGATGTCAGAAACAAGGATTTTGTCACTTCCAGTTTTCTTCTTTCTTTGGTTACTGGGCTCTTATGGGCCAGTGAAGCTGCACATCAGATCAATCTGTATCTGATTGGCTGCTTTGAAGGCCAGAGGAAAGGTCTGGGGTCTAACAGACCCTGGATTTCTCCAGATGAAGGACCTGTCATACTGTCACAAGGAATGTTGTTCATCCCGTTATAGCAATAAAGTTGAGCAAAAAAAAAAAAAAAAGTTAAATAAAATAAATAATAAGGTTACAATTTTTTAAAGCGTTTCCTATGCTCATGTGCAAAGGTGAACGAACACATGTAAATAGCGATGACATCACACATGTGAGGTATCACTGCGAGCGTCACAGCAAAAGCAATAATTCTAGTGCCAGACTCTAAAAACTGGTAGCCTGTAAAGGCTACTGAATCATCACCTATGGAGATTTTTAGGTACCGTAGTTTGGCGCATGCATGGGTGTTCACGTAAAGCGTGAAATGTTTTGGTATCTATTTACTCAGCATAACATCATCTTTCATATTTTAACAATCAATCGGTATTATATTGTGTTTTTGTGCATTCAAATTCATTAAAGTCTATTTTTTTCCAAAAAAAGTTGCATTTCAAAAACCATTTTTCCCATTCTTCACAATTTTTGGCAGCACTCGGGACAGTCATCTCCTTGCTACGTCCTCTTGCAAGTGTTACTAATTTAAATTCATTCCTAGTATAAAGAAGAATGTTCAGACAAAGCCAGGGAGTTTTCACAGGGAAGGGGACGCTGAAGTATCATATACTGAAACATGTAATTAATTGAGAATTGACTCCTTCCCAAGTCAGACTTTCCGTCAGTGTATGGAGAGGCGGGGTCAGATTCCCTGCACGGCCAAGAATGAAATGCTGAGCAAACTAAACTTTGTTCCTTTATTCAAATAAGGAATGGAAATTCTCTGACTCACCGACCATGGCACATCGCAACATTATGAAGAGTTCTATTCAGTTTTTATTTAAAGAAGAAAGTTACCCAATTGTTACTTGCATCAAAAAAGAATTCCAGGTCTATTATACATAGTTACATTTGTGCAGCTTGGACCAATGTAACTACATACATTATATACCAGGGGTGGGCAAACCTTTTGACTTGAGGGCCGCAATGGGTTCATATATTGGACCCGGGGGCCGGACCAAGAGTAGATAAATGATGTGTATGTGTGAATTAATATAAATTAAATTAAAATTTGTAACATTAAATGTTTAGATTAATTTAAGGTAGAAAAGCATAAAAAGAGTTATTTTACAAAACTTTTATGCCCCCCACTACTGCTGGCCGGCCCAGCCACTACCATGCCATCCATAGTAAGTATAGTAATATTCCCCCATAGTAAGCATAGTAATTAATCCCCCATAATTCATAGTAATTCATCCCCCATAGTAATTCATCCCCCATAGTCATCCCCCATAATTAAGTAATTCATCCCCTATATAGTAATTCATCCCCCATATAGTAATTCATCCCCCATATAGTAATTCATCCCCCCATATAATTAATCCCCCATAGTAATTCATTCCCCATTTTAATTCATCCCCCATATTAATTCATTCCTCATATAGTATTTTCATCCCCGATAGTACTATTCCCCCCCAAGTAGTAAGCCAAGTCCCCCCTGTGTCAATTTACTTACCTTTGCTCCGCGCGTTCCTCTCGCCGTGTTCCCGCGCC